CAAGTGGCTACTTAACATGGGGAGCACAAATTGTATAAATCAAATATATTATAATACAGTGCTCAAATATATAGGAACATGATGTTATAAACCTTATCAAAAATAGTTCATCAATGAAAGTTCCTTATTATAGTTTCAATGATGAACTATGTTTGATACGATTTATAACATGTTCCTATATATTTGAGCACTGTATTATTATCTATTTGAAGAGTTTACACCTATATATATATTATATATATTTATGACATTATATATTATAATAATACATATATATAATATATGTATACACTATATATATAAAACAGTATATATCTCAATAATTTAATAATAGAATATAATATGGTATTTTCAATAATATTTATACTGTATATACAGATCTTGAGTTCACATAATATATTTTTGCACAGTATTTACTTTGTTTACCAGCATATTGGTCCATCTGGTAGCATTTCATAAAGAGCCTGATGATGTCAGCTCAAAACTGTCTTAATTACTCACAAAAGCAACAAAGTGGTTGACCCACGTGCATTCTAAAAATACCATGCCAAACGAGGGCGGTAAAGCACTAATAAATGACAACATTTTGTGAAGGTTAACGGATGTCCATATACGTTCATCAGGTGCTATGAATATTCCAAAATGGTATTTCTAAAACTTCGATTCAGAGTATTTCTCAGTCCGTTTGCGTCATTGTTGTCATCATTCAAAAGGTTAATACATTTTTTGTTTACACAATTTTTGCATGTTAATGAGGCAATTAACATTGAACACTGGTTTTTTTCTCGTTTTTTTCAACGCCAATCCTCACCAATCGAGACATTTGATCACATTTGAAGTTGTTTATCATCCATGCGGACAATATTTGTCGTCTTGCATTACATCATTACTTAAATTGATCATGCTTTCAAGAAACCAAGACAAAGTTCAAATCACTGGAATTCCATCTTACTATGTTGTGAGAATTCATTTCATAATTTGCCATCGTAAAAAATTAGAAATTACAAAATTTCAGCATAAGATGACAAATTGAATTCCTTAGGCCAGCAACTGCTGTAAAGCAACAACTTTGTGTAGTCAACTTGAAATTTCCAGTTTTTTTCCCCCCGTCTATTTTGATTTTGTAACTTAATTCCTTTAGATGTAATTGGGTTTTTTTCCCCTTTTATATTTCTTTGTATGAATGTAATAATAAACTATGAGGCCTAATTAATAATCAAATGAAAATTATGCACTTTTAGAATATTGTTTTTCGGACGCAAAACACAAATCACAAAATGTCTAAAGTTGGAAAATATAGCCTCTTTAGTGAAATATTGTTGTGAGCAGGGGTTTTCACAACTGTAAAATTGAATACGTTTTTTAGTAGATACTTCATCATTATGAAGCTGCTATCTCATATTTTTGTGTCAAAAAATATAATAAAGCTAGTGGTGATAAATAATGGAAATATAAATAAATGAAAATTTTTTTTATATGCGCTTGTAATAATACTAATAATAATATTACTAACATAGCAAAAGTTGTAGTTTTTGAATTAAACACTTTTCGGCCCATATAACCACCAAGCATTTTCGACAAGGTAATAAATATTCATTTGTTAACAAGATCGTCTCATGAATATTCATCAGCACCGTAATACTTGTAGATGTTTATGGATGGCACATAACAAGTTGCTAATGAGTAGGAAGGCGTATGACTCCCACGAGGGAAATTACCACAGTATCATTATCACGTCTTTCTATTCATATCGTCCGATGGACTGACATCTTGCTAAGAGACCTTGATCACGACCGAAATCACGTCACACTACTACGAATTCCAGATTCGTCTCGCAGATTATAGGCCCGTCTTTTTATGAGTTAACTAACTTTAAAAAATATAGTTGATCCTTCTAGAATTTATATAATTCTCAATGTATCCATTGCGTTGTATTTATTAGTGTTATGTCGTTTAAAATATATCTCCGCCCATTGTATTTCCTAGCTTATTACAGCTACTAAGTTCAGTGGCCTACCGTATCCATACGCTATTGTAATTGTAAAATAAACTTTTGTGGGGCAATAGGCCTAATCTAAATAATCATCGAATTATTTAGGCCTAATATTGTTTGCACATTACAAATATGTGTCGTTCCCCCGAGGCCCAATTCGCGGGATGATCTTATTTTGGTAATTTATTGTGGACTAAAAAAAGACTCAATTTTTCACGGTGCATTGCCGAGGTCCTGGTACTGTAATTGCAGTCCAGATTCTTCCCAAACTCGTGGTTATCGCCACCGCCAACCTGATGTAAGGAAGGTGGTGAAGTTGCAGGAAAGGTCGAACAATAGAAAGCATTGTATAGGTTGTTAATTTTTCTTCATGTTCATTTTTTCTATGTAACTATCTTGCTAACTGGGGCTCAGGTCCACGGCAAACCTGACGACTTATACTAGCTATCGGGAATTTTCCCGTATAGATGCCTATCCCTGCAGGGCTCTTTTATCTACATAATATCGTTATCCGTCTTCACTTTTAGCATCTCTAAATTCTGAAGTAATTCCCTCACAGCGCCTCCTTGTTAAATCCTTGTGGAATATTTGGTTTATAAATCTAAGCCGATGTTACTTGCCTTGTAGGTTATTTGCTTCGCATTAATAACAAACGAAGTATCTTAAATCCCCGGAGATTTTTGCTCAAACTAGCATGCTAAAACTCCTCTATGTTTTAGCATTCTGAATTAGTCTACGTCGTACAGTTATTAGTAAATCCCCTTAAAACGCGAATTGCGCCCGAGCGGGCATTCCACACAAATCTACGCCTTTATTAAGAGTTTTCCCACGCCCTGCCCTCCTGTCTTTTCTTACGTAGTATGTTTAAGAAAGACCGAATAATTTCCTGATAATGAATTCATTAACCGAGTCTGTTCTACCGAATAGCCGGTTGCAAATTCGAGTATTTTGAACATTCAATATAAGGAATATGCCTGTTTTCTTTAAATCTTCGAGTATTACCGAGCGGCAAGGATAATTGCTATACACTTGGGTCCATAGGGGTTTTTCCCCCGATTTCTCTTTTGTTTAATGATCGAGAGACATTATATCGGCTGTCGACTCAACTTGCAAGCTGTTCCCAAGTGGCGCTATTGTTGCCTTTTTACGTCAACACGATTATTATTCAGTATTCACTATCTCGCTCGTCTTTTCGTTGAAAAATGATCAGGTTATCCTTTCAGACTCAAAATCATTCATGGATTCCATAATGAGTCGATGCAGTGTACAGTTAGGCCTTTGCGAAAGTGACCCAAAAAGTATGCCCCTTATCCAAAACCCTTCATAATCAAGTACATGGTAAGCATGCGCTGAATAAAAAGTCGGGCCGGTGGTACGCACGCACGCGCTTGTAATTGGAATAATTCTCGCCATCATTTGAACGGTGTTTATGAGATGTGAAAGTGTAGATCGTGAACTCGCATTATTATTCCCTTTATATGTAACTCAACATTTCTTCCAATACACCAGGCTTCAGAAGGGGCAAAGAATTATCATTTACTATTCCAACAAATTTTTCTTGTTTTTTGGTTTTGTTTTGTTTTTACTTTGCGTTGCTTTGTGCTGATACATATGTTCATGGTAGGATCGGGGCGGGGCTCCGAGGGGTATCCCTTACTGAGTATTTCCATGGCCTTGAACTTTTATTGTCACTGCATATGATACGGTAGTTCATAAGTTATTTACGGTATGACATTAGGCGGCAAGCCTGTGGTCTGCGCATGGGTATCGATCCCATATTGAATGTTTAATGTGTCTCCATCAGGCCCCCAACATCCAAAACCCTTCGAGAGAATACGGCATATGCGTCTTAATGACGTATGGGTCAGTGCGGTGTCTAATTCATCTTTCCATCGCTGACTTTTCACTTTAAGATCTACATTTACTCAAATGAGGGCAATTGTTTGGATTAGTCTTCTGAGTTAACGAGTTAATATGGTCGGATGACGCAATTTATGTTCCTCAAGAACCATCCGTTACTGGATCACCGTACATCGACCTGAAGTAGAGTATGTCCCTGGTTGATGCGCGGGTACTCCACACTGCGGTCGCTAAACACACCATAATCATTAATTTCATAATAATGAGGATTATGAAGGTAATTTTGTCCCGGCTTATATGCTATTAATGTTGTACCAAGAGATTGTTCACTTGCCATCGGCGAGTTTCAACATTTTCTGTGCTTGCCAAACTCTTTCCTAATCAATCCATTATTAATCGAATCCAACTTCGAATTCGAGTTTCACTCCATGTCCTTTTGAGTTGAAATTTCAACTGTTGTGTATTATAAAGCTTGTTGATTCCATTCAGATCATTCGTTGGCAACGAGCGTAGCCTATTGATATTCTATAAAATTGATCTTACCCCGAAGTTGATTCCACCGCAATTATTTATCCCAGTAATGCCTGTCTGTTTCACATTTTCAATCAGAGAATAAGTTTCATTGTCTTACTTAGCCAATCTTTAGATACTTACTCTTAAATTCAACTCATAAGTTTCTGAAAGGACGCACTAGAGGTACTGTACTTCGCTTACTATACGGCCTCAGCACCCTGTCTGTTGTGTAGCCCCTACTCGTGTTGACGTAGTCTCCAGAAGAACATATCAATCCTGCGCAGATAAAACTTTAAAAAATATGAAAAATACCCTCAATAATCGTGTTTCGTAGCAAAGGCGTACGATTCTTACTGTTAGGCATTACAGGCCACTTTAAAACAATGTAATTGTTTGCAAGTTGTATGATATAATAAACATTAAATATGCTTATTATTTATGCATCTACACTTTATACTCTTTCCTCTTTCCGTTTTATATATATAGGTCTATA